TAACAGTTCTGGAAGCTCTCGGTGAGGAAGTGACTTATGAGCAACTCCTTGAGGCATTGGAGGCGAGATATGGCGACGCTCACCTGGAACACGTCTTTCGTGCGCAGCTTAAAGATCGTGTGCAGCGCATCAACGAAAACCTGCAGCAGTGGGCTCTAGAAGTGGAGAAGCTGGTGCGAAAAGCATACCGGTCTGTACCTGCGCTCATTGAAGGGAACCTGGTGCAGACATTCATCGACGGCATCCGCGACCTGGAAGTCAGAGCTGCTGTGAGGCTCGGGCACCACGAGACGCTTAAGGACGCCTTGGCCCATGCACTGGAAGTGGAAGCCGTGCGGCAGGATCATCGTTCCCATCGCGTCAGGGAGGTTGCAGCAGCTACAGTTCGCGACCGCAACAAAGGATACAGCCCAAGGTGCTATGGCTGTGGGGAAAAGGGCCATCTTCGATCCAGCTGCCCTAAGCGAACCCTAGAAAGGGAAATTGAACGATCTCAGGAGGGTAGTGCGGCCAACAGCACCGCCCAGCAGCGGCAGGGAAACGAGTAAAAGCCAGAACTGCGGGGCGGGTGCTGGCTGATGTTAAAAGAGCCCCAAGGATCTCGATCTCACAAACCCATGATGGGAACAGCCTAATCATAAAGGGCGAGATCAACGGAATGCCGTGTAAGCTGACCATAGACACTGGAGCCTCTCGTACGGTTGTTAGTTCCCAACTTATAAGTCAGTTCCTTGGGGACTCCGCATACAACCGAGAACGCCTTAATTTGGTAACAGCCACCGGTCAGCGTATACCCGTCCGTGGAGAGAAGGAGATGGAGTTGAAGCTAGGCAACGTGATCTACCTGCATAATGTCATCGTGGCTGATATAATGGACGACTGCATCTTAGGCCTAGACTTTATGAGGAATAATTGTTGTGAGATCGACGTTAAGCAAGGTGTTTTGAAATGTGGACAGGAGGAACTTTTTATGGAAGGTGCGTTACCAGGGAACGTGTACAGCATCAAGAAGATTGTTCTTCCGCCGAGATCGGAAACGATTGTTCCGGTTAGTCTACCTCGAAACGCTGGGCAAGCTCACCGTTGTGTACTTGTGGAAAGGGTAAACAATGACCTTCCATGGAAAGTAGCTCGAACCTTGGTCAGGACCACTGACATCTCAGGAGTACGTGTGCTGAACCTTTGCGACCGGGAACAGATTATAGAAAAAGGCACACTGGTTGGTACTTGTGAGGAAGTGGATTGGTTACGTCAGTGCCAATATATATCGAGTGGGACCCCCAGCAAGGATTCAGAAACGAGAGTGACCACACTTTTGGAAGACTGTCGCAGTGTTCTGTCCCCGAACGAATTGGTCAAGGCGAAGAAGTTGTTACTCAAGTACGCCGATGTATTCTCATCAAATGATGCTGACATAGGAAAGACTGGCCTAGTTCAACACAAAATAAACACAGGAGAGGAATTGCCTATCCGTCAGCGGCCAAGAAGATTGCCGGTAGCACGTGAAAAGGAAGTGGAAACCATGATTGAAGGAATGGTGAAGGATGGTGTTATTGAACCTTCCTCTAGTCCATGGTGTTCACCAGTGGTGCTGGTGAAAAAGAAGGATGGCAGCATGCGGTTCTGTGTTGATTACCGCCGTCTGAACGACGTTACAAAGAAGGACAGCTATCCCTTGCCAAGAATTGATGACACGCTGGACATGCTTACAGGAGTAAAATGGTTTAGCACGCTGGATCTAAAAAAGTGGCTACTGGCAAGTTGAAATTGACCCTAAGGACAAGGAGAAAACTGCGTTCTCGACGGGAAAGGGTCTGTGGCAATTCAAAGTAATGCCGTTTGGGTTGTGCAATGCTCCAGCAACGTTTGAAAGGCTGATGGAACTTGTACTTACCGGGCTAATTGGCGATGCCTGTCTGGTCTACTTGGATGACATCATCATCGTGGGCCTTACGTTTGAGGAACACCTTCAAAACCTGGAACGCGTGCTCATGAAGATTCAGAGTGCCAACCTCAAGTTGAGCCCGAAGAAATGTTCACTATTTCAACGGCAAGTTAACTTTTTGGGGTTTGTAGTATCGGAAGAAGGTATCCGCACAGATCCAGAGAAAATCGCCGCTGTCAAGGATTGGCCGGTTCCAAAAGACAAGACGCAGGTTAGAGCATTTTTGGGTTTGTGCTCCTATTACCGGCGATTCGTGAAGAACTTTGCAGATATAGCCAAACCTCTGCACAAGCTAACCGAGGAGAAGCGACAGTTCTGCTGGGATGAAAGTTGCAATATCGCATTCCAGGAGCTCAAGGACCGTCTGTGCAAAACACCTATTTTGGGATACCCTGATGCAAGCAAAGAATTTATAGTTGACACAGACGCAAGTGATATAGGACTCGGCGGTGTGTTGTCTCAACGGAATGGTGACCAAGAGGTCGTGATAGCGTACTTCAGCAAGTCGTTGTCAAAACCGGAAAGAAACTACTGTGTCACAAGACGCGAATTGCTAGCTGTGGTAAAGTCGTTGCAACATTTTAGCAAATATCTTCTGGGACGAAAATTTCACTTACGAACTGACCATGCTGCACTAAAATGGCTATTGCAGTTTAAAAACCCAGAAGGACAAGTTGCGAGGTGGATTGAACTACTGCAGGAATACGACTTTGAGATCGAACATCGCAGCGGGAAATCTCATGGCAACGCAGATGCATTGTCAAGAAGACCTTGTCCTGAAGATTGCAAACATTGTACTAGGCAAGAGAGTAAGGAAGTGGTATCCGTGAGGATGCTCAGGGCAGACCACCTCAGCAACGAGTGGAAGGACAGCTTACTACATGCACAGCAGGAAGATCCGGACATCAAGCCGATTCTGGAATGGATAAAGGCCAGTGCTCCCAAGCCCAAGTGGAGTGACGTCTCAGCGATGAGTTCGACCACTAAAAGCTATTGGGCCCAGTGGGACAGCTTGCTGCTTCAGGATGGAGTTCTGTGTCGTAAATGGGAAAACGTTCGGGGAGACAGCTGTCATTTGCAAATGGTTGTCCCTAAAGTTAAAGTACCGGATGTTCTACAGCTGTACCATAATGATTGTTCAGGAGGCCATCTGGGAGTTAAACGAACTCTACTGAAGATCCGAGAACGGTTTTACTGGGTCCACTGTCGAAACGATGTCGAGGACTGGTGTCGCAAATGTACAAGTTGTGCGGCTGTAAAGGGACCTCAGACTCGTAGTAGAGGTGCATTGAAGTTGTACAATGTTGGTGCACCATGGGAGAGAATAGCCATTGACGTGGCGGGGCCGTTTCCGGAGAGTGAAAGCGGTAACAAGTATTTCATGGTTGTGATGGATTACTTCACTAAGTGGCCAGAAGTCTTCGCCATTCCAAATCAAGAAGCTTCAACAGTTGCAGATAAACTAGTTCATGAAGTCTTCTGTCGTTTTGGAGTACCTTTAGAGATTCACAGCGATCAAGGAAGGAATTTTGAGTCTCAAATATTCCAGGAAACTTGCCGAGTTATGGGTACTCATAAAACAAGAACGACTTCTTATCACCCGCAATCTGATGGAATGGTGGAACGATTTAATCAGACATTGGAGAGGTACCTAGCAAAAGTTGTAGACAATCGGCAACGAGATTGGGACAAGCACATACAACCGTTTTTGTTGTCATATCGAAGTTCTGTTCACGAAAGTACAGCAGTGACACCAGCTTTCGCAAACTTTGGAAGAGAATTACGGCTGCCTGCAGACCTGATCACCGGGATACCACCCGATGCTCCACGCAGTATAACCGATTATGCAAATGACTTGCGGAAAAAAATGAATGACGTTTATGAGCACGTCAGACAATCGGGCCAGCAAATGTCTGAAAAGATGAAAACCCGGTATGACCGCAAAATGAACAACAAAGGTTTCGACGAAGGTTCACTTGTGTGGTTGCACAATCCAGTCCGCAGCAAAGGGAAATCTCCTAAGCTTCAAGCTAAATGGGACGGCCCGTACCGGATTGTAACCAGGATCAACGATGTGACCTACCGGATACAGAAAGGCGCAAGAGGGACTCTTAAGATCGTCCATGTGGATCGCTTGGCGCGTTATTATGGGACCGATAATGCTCGGGACGAGCATGTCTTAGGAGGGGGCAGTGTTGCATGAATAAGTCAACTAGCGCCATCTAGTGTCAGGAACGAGAGCGAGGGGAGCATTGAGAAAATGACATCACAAATCGCTCAACTGACAGCGCCTAGTCGAAACTCGAACGCTCGGTACCTTCCGCGTGTTTACTTGAACATTCTGGATATTTCTTTGCTAATTCAAATATATAGGCGCTGCAAGATGCGATCGAGGCAGTGTTGATTTGGGCGAAACAAGCGAAGCTTCGGAGTGGAATTAAGTGAATTAGTGTGTTTAAATTATTAGTGTTTTAACTCTAATTGTGTAAAGTAAATTAAAGTGTTAATTTAGGTAATTTTATCGGCAATTTTTATTGTCACGAACCTCAAGCTCGTAACAATATCATAAAATCCTAAATAAATCTAGAAATGTTAAAGTCACAAAAATAATCTTTGCCTAGCACTTACACGTCTTAAAACGTGTTTCAGTATTTCATAGTATATAATTATGATATTCTGAATTTCTCTATGATGTTACAACGAAGAATTGAAATAAATATTTTATGGATTGTACTCAATTGTAATATCTCGCATTCTGTGCATCATATCATAGGTATTTTACGATAATATTAATACGAGGGTGGATTGAAAAGTACTCGGCCTAACCAAGAAAATAAACACATTCTAAATCAGTTATATTTTTATTTTTCTACATAATCACCATCAAGTTCAATACACTTTTGCCACCTCCCCTTCCAAGCATTTAGACCGTTGAAAAAAAATGATTCTTCCTTAGAGTCAAAATATGCGTCTACAGCTGCTTTGACCTCGTCGTTTGTCGAAAATCTTTGATCTCCCAAGTGCTTTTTTAGGTTAGGGAACAGAAAGAAGTCTGATGGTACCAGATCAGGTGAATACGGCGGATGCGATAACAGTTCAAAGCCACAGTTGTGAATTTCAGCCATTGACTGTACTGACGTGTGAACACGGGTGTTATCTTGATGAAACAGGACTTTTCTTCTGAGAATTCCTCGACGTTTTTCTTTTATTTCCTCTCGTAAACGACGTAGTAAGGTGCAGTAGTAATCATAGTTTATAGTCTGACCCCTTTCAAGATAATCAATCATAATCACACCTTTCGAGTCCCAGAATACTGAAGCCATCACCTTATTTGCCGACAAAATCGACTTAGCCTTTTTAGGGGGTGGTGAACCAGGTCTTCTCCACTGTTTTGATTTTTGTTTTGTTTCCGGTGTACAGTAATGAACCCATGTTTCGTCCATAGTAACAAAACGATTCAAAAAATCATCTGCATCGGCTTCAAATAACTCCAAACAGTTGCGTGAAATAGTCAATCGCGTCATTTTTTGTTCAACTGAAAGCAGTCGCGGAACCCACCGTGAAGACGGAAGACACCTTGTGGAAACCCAACTCGTTGACAATGATGTTTTGAGTTCGTTCATAAGAGATGCCTATAATCTCGGCTATCTCTCTAATTTTTAATCTGCGGTCTCCCATTATTAAATCAAGTACTTTTTTAATATTTTCGTCAGTAGTTGACGTCGAAGGCCTTCCAGAGCGGGGTTCATCTTTCACACTCTCTCTACCACGCTTAAATTCTGCTATCCATTTTTTGACGGATGAATATGACAGAGCACAATCGCCTAATGTACTGACCATGTCATCATGGATGGCTTTTGATGATAGCCCCTTCTTATGGAGGTACTTAATGACGGCATGCTGCTCGATTTGCTCCATTCGCGGAAATTATGTCCGATTACTTTGTTAATAAATTTATAAAATCACAACTAATTATCGCACACGTTTCGAACTTCACACAATGAACTAGTCTGAACTGAACTAAATAATGTGGGTAGATTTGATTTTTAGAATTGAATGGATCTGTGTTAGGCCGAGTACTTTTTAATCCACCCTCGTAATATTATGTGAAGTGGCACTGTACAGCAGCGGTATAAGATACATAAGTGCAAGTGCAGCAGTGCAGCTGCTGGAACTTATAAAATTATTACCACCTTACTTATTTAAATTATTAACCAGCTTATGCATTGTTTTGTATAATGTTTTAGTTTAATTTGGCTTGATGTTTGCTATTATGTTATGTTCCAAGCTGGCAACATTGCTAAGAGTTTAAATTGTCAAATTAATTTTGTTTTGACATATTTCGTTCTTTTTCTTTTTATGTCCAATCGCCTCCCAGTGGCATTACACGCGTAAGTTTTTCCACGAATCTTAAAAAATTATTATAATCCTTGAATATTTTTTAAGGAAATTACAAACATGAAACCACATAGTTCAAGTTTCTTTAATTTGTAATATATTTCAGTTATAGTAAATAGTTTACTTGTGAAAGATTTCCGGTGTGCATGATACTGTTTGTTTCAGGTTTAGTCGTAACTCAAATAAACGCTACGATGTCGGGAGGATTAGATATTTTGACTCTTAACGAGGAAGATGTTACCAAAATGCTTGCGGCAACAACCCATCTTGGGTCCGAGAATGTAAATTTTCAGGTTAGTTTTATTTACGTTTCGTTGCTTTTTAACCTATAAGTAAAATGATGATACGAGAATCCGTTCCATATCAATTTTCTGACTATTGTGAAGATCAATTCTCCCAACTGACATAAAATTATTTAGGATGAGGATACTATAAATATAGTGACTTTACTTACCTACTATCTAAATGTTTTTAGATGGAGACTTATGTCTACAAGCGCCGTGCTGATGGCACCCACGTGATTAATCTTCGCCGTACATGGGAGAAGCTTGTGTTAGCCGCTCGGGCTGTGGTCGCCATTGAGAACCCAGCTGATGTGTTCGTAATTTCATCTCGACCATTTGGACAACGTGCTGTACTTAAATTCGCAGCGCATACTGGTGCCACACCTATTGCTGGTCGTTTTACACCTGGTGCTTTCACTAACCAAGTAAGTAGTATTACCTTTTCAAGAACTCTGAAACGGGCATTTAGAATCTATGAAATATGGCAAAAAAATTTACTTTTGATAAGAAAAAATGTTTACAATTTTAACTTAAATTAAAATTTTAAGGCGTTAATTGATTGATTGTTTGAGCTGACCAGGCAGGTGTCCGCAACTTCAAGTCCATATTTTGCCTGTGGGCAATATAAGACAAATTATTATATTTGAGACACTATATCATTGAAGAATCTCAGTAAGTTCTTTACATTGACCAATGCCTCCAAGGAGTGACTTTGGCGAGTCAAGGTACTTAGCTCTAACTGTAACTAAATAAATGTAAATAAATCAAGTAGAACATAGGCTGCCATTTCCTTGTACCCTATGCAGACTGCACAAAGAGCTGTGAAACAAGTTAAGAGATTCTTATTAAAGAAGTGGTGTCCTTTTGTGGCACGGCTGACCAGTCTAATTTGAGGTTTGCTGGGATAGAATGTGTCGACTTTATATTGATACTTGATATGATTTCGTACTGTTATTCTTACATACTCAAAGATGTGCAGCTGTGGGTTAAGGCCATACAGGTCACAATGCTAAACCATTCTGACCGAGTTCACAAGAGCTGTAACTCTATCCATTGAAGATTATTAAAATATCTAACCTCGTTTAATGCTGGAAGCATTCAAATATGTCTGCCGATTCTGCCTGGATGATTCCTATGCATTTGTCCTAGCTGACAGTATTTTGGACTCTTAGCAATGTTTCTTTAAGATAAGATTCTGTAATCAGTATCTGACTCAGTTTTGTACCCAATGTGAATTTTGAGCTCATGAGAGTTTTAATTTTCAGATTATAGAAGTTCGTATACTTGAATTTTTTTGTACTTTTTACTAAACATATTTTAAAATCCTCTCACTCATGGTTTACAGGTGGGTATTTTCTTCATACATTATGTTCAAGATGTTGTGTGCAAAGTTCTGGGCACAACTACGGTTCTTACAGTGCCATATTTTCATAGCAAATTCGTATAGATCTCGACGAGATATGCTGAAAAGTAAAAATATTTTCTTTTAATATATCTGTTAGCTTCCAAGATATATACTCAAAAATTACTTTTTTTTACACAGGAATATTGACTCTGTTACTTCTGCAATGACTTCGGTGCTGGGGGAGTGCAGCTCCTTCACCCTTACGTAGCAAATCGCAGGCACCCATGCTCACCTCCCCATTATTTGTTGCCTTCGGCGACTAGCCTCAGTTGCTACTGCTCGCACAGGTGCCTGCTATTCGCTTCAGTAGGGGAGGGGGGCTGCTCTCCTCCAACTATGTGAAGTCGAAACTTGCTGATTCTGTTTTAGTAATCGATTTTTGAGTATCAATATCTCTGAAACTAAGCTAGATATTGAGAATTTTCGTTCTTACTTTTTGGCGTATCGTCGAGATCGCGGCGTCATATCGTGGCGCCGTAGGCACGGCAGAAACCTCGAGTTCCACTATTGTTTAAAGTTTTTAGTCTTATAGCTGACAGGGCTGTTGAATAAGTTTAGGGAACTGAAATCCAGCATTACATCCAGGGCCTCAGTGGCTTTAGTTTTCATGCATTCTGTAGCGGCCATGCTGATTATTCTTTGGCAATGTTTTAATTTCTTGCTTTTGGTGGCCATCTTGATTTTTGACTACCATAAGCTGTCATAAGGTGGATAACCAATTTGTACAGGCACAGGATGGCTAATGGATGATTAACAAATAAAACGGGTCGGCTTTAGTAATCTGCTGCACGATTTAAATGATTATTTTAGCCATAGTGGACAGGCAATGATGCTATTGATTACCATTTAGCTGCTTTTTATGCCGGAAATCTTTATTTTTCGAGATATCGATAGTTAAAGTTCGTCATCCGGTACTTGATTTTGATAATGTTTTTAGTCTAGGAGGCTTGTTAGGGTTAATCTTAAACCTACTACACTGTTTTTAGATGTCGGAAATGCATTTTGAATTAATTACGATAAAAACAAATTTCACCAAAAATAGTGTAAAAGTCAATTTGTTCTCGTATTATGAAGTAGATTTCCGATACTTGATTTTTTAATTATGTTTTCAATTTAGGAGGATTGTCAGGGTTAAGCTCGAACCATTTACACTGTTTTTGGATTTCGGAAATGCCTTTTGAATTAATTACTTACGATAAAAATAAATTTTACTTTAAATTACATATAACGAAATGCAAATATATCAGTTTGTTTTCTTAACACAGATACACTCATAAAAAAGTTAATCACGAAAAGTGAATCACGGTTTCACGAATTGAATTCACGACTTGAATCACGGTTTATCCGAAAACAAAATTATAACAATAATTCACATTACATTATTTCATTTACCACTCTAGTAGCAGAGTTAAGAGCAATTAGACTTTGTAGATAAAATAGGTCGAATCGATTCTAAAACCGAATTAGCACACCCCGACTCCACATAGTTTTTTCTGCCCTACCCCTAGAGTGTTTTTGTAAAGCCGTAGGCACGGAGGGAGAGCAGCCCCCGCCCGCTGTAGTAAATCGCAGGCACCTAAGCAAGCCATAGCGGCTGAGGCTGGTCACCGAAGGCGACCAACAAGCCGAAGGCTGCGGTGGCGAACGTGGGTGCCTGTGATTTGCTACGCAAGGGCAAAGGGGCTGCACTTCCCGCAGTGCCGAAGCCGTTGCAGAAGTAACTGCGTCAATATTCCTGTATAAAAAAATAAGGTTATGATTTTACAGAAAAAGGGGGGTTTCCGGCACTTCCCCCTTTTAGGGCGAGGTTCCTACTCCAGCCCCCCCCACTCGGTGACCATATATTCATGCGGCAGATTCCTAAAAAAATTCATAAAAAATGGGGGGGGGGTTTCCGGCACTTAATTCTTTTAGGGGGAGGTTCCTACCCCTCCCCCATCTACCCGCCCACTCGGCGACCAATAATTCGTGCAGCAGATTACTAAAGAATTACCAATAAAACTTATTTGTTATCTTAAGTACTTTCGAGAGTTACTTTCAATTTGGTGAAAAAAAGTAAACAACTGCAGTTGTATATTAAATGTATATGAGTAAACATGACTAGCTCCAATTTATTAGGGTTTACTGTTTAGTTAGGTTAGTAGTGTGAGAGTAAAAACGACAAAAATAGTATTGCTTACTGTACAACACGCGCACACGCGGGGAAGTTCGAGTGGTGGCAAGCGGGGTGTAATATTGCAATCTAATCTCAGTTTTGCATATGGTAGTCCTTCCATGTGAGTGAAAGTACATTTGATTATTTGCTAATATTTTTCTATGATGACAATATAAACTAAGGAACCACTGACTGCTTTCAAATGCAGAAATGATTATTATTTTATCTGATAATATTAATAAATGTATGGTATCTCTGTATAGTTTGTCTTTGTACTTAACAAATTGTTTATTCCTCGTTAGATCCAAGCTGCATTCCGGGAACCCCGTTTGCTGATTGTTTTGGATCCCGCTCAAGACCACCAGCCCATTACTGAAGCTTCCTATGTCAACATTCCAGTTATTGCTTTCTGCAACACTGACTCACCACTCCGTTTTGTGGACATTGCTATCCCATGCAACACAAAGGTAAAAAAAATTCAGATTAAAACTAAAATTATATAAATTAAATTAAAATTATGTATATAAATTTTAAAACTTAGTTTTTGGAATAAGTATACCCTATGCATTTGCAATTAATTATGTTTTCAACTATTTATTAATCATAATTATTTTAAAAGTAGTAATATTAGCCTAGATTGGCAACAAACACTACAAGTTGTATTTTAAACATTATATAGAAAGAAATGTTATTAATAATCAATTAATATCGTTTGTTGAGATCTGACTAATTTATTAATGTTTTGATAACATATGAAAAATAAAGATATTAATGGTTACTTTGCAACCATCCATTAATAAAAATAAAATGATGTGTCTTACCTAGTTTGAAGAGCAATCAATTGTGTGCACTAATCCCGTCACCACTACTTCCAACAACAACTCAGAAACCTGTAATTATGCCCAAAGATTGCCAGAACACATATTTATAAGCCAACTGCATGCTTTACCAGGTCTTCTGTTTGGTCTCCACTTACTATTTAAATGGTATTCTAATTTACTGGTATACTTTACTGAAAAACCATTCCTTTCAAAATGTGTTTAAAAATTAGACACTTCTTATCTTTTATGCATAAAATTTGTCACGGGAATATTACTAAGACTGTTTAGCTCATTTGTTTACGAATTTTGATTTTATATTTAAAAAAAATCTTTAATTTTCAGTCATCTCACTCAATTGGTTTGATGTGGTGGCTGCTTGCTCGTGAAGTTTTGAGGCTTCGTGGAGTACTTGCACGTGACCAACGCTGGGATGTAGTTGTCGACTTGTTCTTCTACCGTGATCCAGAAGAGAGTGAAAAAGAGGAACAACAAGCCAAGGAGCAGGTATGTTCGTTGTTTTCCAGTGATTAAAAAAGTATAGTGGCAAAGAAGCAGTGGTTTTGATTAAGAGTAACAATTCATAAGTTATTAACTAAAAATTAGTTTTTATCACAGTCACTCAATATTGATTCTTCAATGAACTTGTCTGTCAGCAGGATTGGTATCATGTGCTTTATCTCATAGTGCTAAAACATATACCTGAGTATGTTTAATGCAATATGAGGGTATTCACTATAATAGAAAAAACTATAATGTATCTCTTTATGTAAGAATGTATAAGGAATGCAATGTGTTATAAGTGAGAAGAAGCAGATTTATCATGTCGTTGGCGATAAAGAAAAACATTGTGAGGAAATCTGCATATTTCAGAACTAAAAAGTTTCGAAGACGTGAATGAAGTTCGACAATACGCACTGGAGCAACGCGTCGGAATAATGCTCTATAAACTTCTGCTCAATAAACTTCTCAAAAATGAGTGGGGTGACCATGCATCTGCATTTTCATTCTTAATCAAGCATGTATGTAGATAGGTTACTTTCGGCAAAAGCAGTCGCTTACGATCGGGTGGACTGTGTTCATTGATCACTCTTATTCTATAAAAAAAGCTAAACAGATACCTCCGAATAGAATAACAAGCATTAATGAATAATTTTATGTAGGCTGTTGTGGCTGCAAAGCCCGACGTACCAGCTCCCGTGCATGAGGACTGGAATGAGAGTGTGGAGCCTGTGGCCTCGTGGGCTGAAGAGGCGGCTCCCCCCGCCGCACCCGCCTTTGGAGCACCACCTGCACAGGAGGACTGGGTAGCTCAGGTATTTTTATTTTTGATTTAAATATTTTGCTATTACTATAGTGAAGAGAACTTCATTTTATAATAAATAAAAGTGAACAATTTAAAACATATATAGATATTGAATCTATATTTTGGTACAATATTCTGAATAGGATATAGGCCTGACTTGAAATTATATATCAGGCAAAGTTCAAGTCGCGTATCCGAGCAGCAATGCTCGATTAAAATATCGTATCGAACTGAATAAGTGTTAAGCGGATCGTAATCTAGTAGTAATTTGACTTTATTCTACTGTTGTTCTTTGTGCAGGTAATGTATAAAACAATTAAATTTCGTGACTCGTTAATTGAATTTGAATTGTCTAAATAAAATTAGTAAAAATTACTTATCTAGTTAAAAAAGTTATCTAACGATATATATCAATGTATCATTTGGATTCAGAAAAAGTTAAATTACCCAGTTCCAATAATAAATCTTCCTCTGTTCCAGGTACAAGACGAGTGGGGAACAGCCGCTCCCGCCCCGGCTGCTGCTGCAGCCCCCGCCACCGCGGCGCCCATTTGGGGAGGTTCTGCCCAAGACTGGAGTGCTGCGTAAATGTTACATCTGCATTGGTTGATCTAATTATATCAGTTTAAAACTACTATTTTTTCATTTACCTTCCCTGTGAAATATCGATAACCTTACCCCACCTTAATTGAATTTAGATGATTAGTCCGAGCTGTTTGTATCTCCATTTTATATACTAATTTTTATTTCGTTGCTAGTGCTTACTCAGATAAGAAGTACGTTACATAAAATAAATCACGACCAATGACTATGTCAATAAAGAATAATAACGTTCTAGTATCGACCGTCGAAGATAGCTTTGATAAATATTGAACAGAACAATGGAGTATTTATAAAGAGTAGTAGGGAACTTGTTGTTGATTCTGTCGCTGATGTGCTACAGGGAATAGAACTTTTTATTCATCATCTGGTAGTTCGTCTTCCTTTGGGAACGACGTGCATTCTGGTCTCGCGCCAGGGCTGTCCAAGGGAACTTCTGTCAGCCATCTCTGCACAGGGAGGACGACGCACTGGCCCATGCCGCAAAGGACAAAGCCGATCAGCTGGGCTCTCTTGCGTTCAACTCTACCCTTGATGACGAGGGAACACACCGCCGACCATCCCGTGGTGTGAGTGCTCCATGCAGTATGTGCTGTTTACCCAACGCTCGGTGCGTAGAGCACTCCTCTCCCTGGACATCAATAAGTCGAGTAGACTTTCCTATTGTGCTGAAGACGTGTGCTCCGGAAGCGTTTTCGGTACTCCTACTCCCAATTTCCGGTACTCCTACTCCCAAGGAGTAGTCCCGAAATCGTGGAAGACAGCCTTCGTGCACCCGATCGCTAAAAAAAATAACCGCTCTGATCCGTCCAATTATAGGCCTATCGCTATCACTTTGTTCTCTAAAATAATTGAATCTATTATTAACAGCCAACTCATGCGGTACCTTGAGGATCACCGGTTGATTAGTTACTGCCAATACGGTTTTCGTCGCGGTCGCTCGGCTGGTGATCTGGGTTACCTTACTCATAAATGGGCGTAGGCAGTAGAGTCCAAAGGGGTGGCGTTGGCCGTTAGTTTGGACATAGTGAAGGCCTTTGATCGGGTTTGGTATAAAGCGCTTCTTACTAAGCTTCCCGAGAAATTATGCAATTGGATCATCAGTTTTCTTGCAGATCGGAGCATCAAGGTCGTAGTAGACGATGCATGCTCCGATTACAAGCCCATTAATGCTGGTGTTACACAAGGCTGCGTGCTATCACCAACACTGTTTCTTCTGCATATCAATGACATGTTGCAAACCGGTAACATTAATTCCTATGCATACGACACCACTGGTGATGCTTTATACACAGGCCGTGCCAATATTTCTCCGGAAAACGTCGGAGTACCGGGGGGATTGTCTGAAGTCGAGACTTTGTACAATATCTCAAACTGGGGACAACTAAATCTAGACCAGTTTAATCCCCAGAAAACACAACTTTGCGCGTTTACCGCTGAAAAGAAATCCCTTTGTCGTATCTCCCTAGATTCAAGGCACTCCCCTTATTGCCGCAGCCAGCATCGGAATCCTCGGCGTCGACATACCGAGTGACGTACAGTTTCGTGGTCACTTGGAAGAGGTCAAATTGGCCTCTAAAAAGATTGGCGTGCTCAGTAGAGCGAAACAGTATTTCATGCCGGCTCACCGCCTGCTACTTTATAAGGCGCAGATTCGGCCGCACATCCTGTACTGTTCCCATCCCTGGGCGGGGGCTACCCAGTGCCAGCTCCTTCCATTTGATCGCAGAGCAGTTCGAATCGTCGGCCTCTACTCTGTGCTATACCGAGCTTTTTCCGATCGGTTAGACGCCCTGGCACTGCGAAGAGATGTTGCATCTCTGTGTATTTAATCGCATCTACCACGGTGAGTGCTCTGAGGAATTGTTTGGGCTAATTCCAGCCGTACAATTTCACCATCGCACTTCGTGACAAAACGTGCGATACCATCCATACCATCTGGATGACTGGCGGTCCACCACCGTCCGATTTAAAAGAAGTTTTCTTCTTGGCACAACTTCCTTGTCGACTACCACTAGAGATTTTTTCGGACCGATGAGTATTTTGTTGCTTGCCAGTAAGTGACTTCTTCGGAAAAGGGACTTGTTGGCCTCTTTCTTGATGCAATTGACATTAATGATTGAAGAGGTCAAGGGTAGAATAATGGTGCGAACATGGCAAGAAAATTAAAGGTGTTAATAACTAAATAAAGAAAATTAAAGGTGGAATTAGATTCAATATTCTCGGGCACTTCTCAATCCATGTGTTTGAAGTTATAATACATAAACACTCACGCCTGTCACCCAGAGGGGTAGGCAGAGACTACAGACTTCCATTTGGCACGATCCTGACACACCTCTCTCGCCTCCTTCACATCCATACACCTCCGCATACATGCTCGTCGGTTAAGGGTACTCCTAATTTGGCCCGTTTTCAATAAATCGCCAATTTGGTCGATAAATTTTCGCCTAGGACGTCCCTTTCCGACTCTGCCATTCACTTCTGCAACATAAATTTTCTTTGTCACTCTTTCCTCATTCATTCTTTCCACATGACCAAACCACCGAAGCATTCTTTCTTAATCCTGGTCACAACATCATCTTGCAAGCTACACTTTTCTCTTATTACACAATTTCTTACCCTGACATTAAAATTCAGCCCTAACATACTCCTTAACGACCGCATTTCTACTGCGTTCATTCTACTCTCGTGCTTCTTCTGCCACACCCAACTTTCACTACCATACGTTAAAGTAGGGACCAACACAGCATTGTGAATTGCCATACGTGCCTTTTTTCACACATTTTGACTCTTCATAATAGTGTGCAGGGCCCCATTTACTCTATTTCCCGCATTCACTCGTCATTCTATATCCTTATCATATCTTCCATCCCTGCTAAATACGCAGCCCAAATATACAAACTCATCTACTTGCTCGATCAACTCCCCTTCTATTCTTATTTCACAAATCGTTTTACTTTCTTCTCTTTCAAAAACCATAACCTAAGTCTTACTTGCGTTCACTTTCATACCCCTTTCTTTTAATGATCTGTTCATTAATGTAACCATCATTTGCAACTCGGCCGCCGACGACGCAAGGATAACTTGATCATCGGCGTACAAAAGGCATGTGACGGTTAACTCACCCATTCTTAATCCGCATTCTTCAACTTTCAAATTTTGCAAACAACAGACCATAAATAGGTTGAACAGCCACGGGGAAGCCACACAGCCCTGTCTGACACCTTTATGGATGTCAAACCAGTCCGAGTAGACCCCGTTGATCCTAACACAAGCACTAGAGTCCCTATAAAGGGACTCCAATGCCTGTATCAAGCCAGCGCCCAACCCAAATGACTTCAGTGTTTGCCATAGCACATCCCTATTCACTCGGAGTTTGAAGTGAAGTTATTAGAACTTAATTTGCTCATATTCGCGTAATAAAATAAAATGATGTGGCCTACTCAGTCCGAAAAGCACCTCACAACCCCCCCCCCCCTAATTGCATGCACTATCCCCGTAGCCAACACTCCCAGTACCCACTACAACCAACACCACCACACTAGGAACGACACCACTATCGATAATACGATACGTGTTTCGCCTCTACACGAGGCATCAACAGGTGAAGTAGTCTATCATCATCATCATCATCATTACAGCCCTTCACAAGTCCACTGCTGAACATAGGCCTCCCCCAAGTAACGCCACAAAGCACGGTCCTGAGCCACCTGCATCCATCGACTTCCTGCATGTCTTACCAGGTCGTCACTCCATCTAGTGGGGAGTCGCCCTACACTACGCCTACCGGTACGAGGCTGCCACTCGAGAACCTTTCTTCCCCATCGGTTATCGGTTCTTCGAGCTATATGGCCGGCCCATTGCCACTTTAGCTTACTAATCCGTTGGGCTATGTCGGTCACTCTGGTTTTACTGCGGATATCCTCATTTTTGAGCCTATCACGCAGAGAAACTCCGAGCATAGCCCTCTTCATAGCTCGCTGAGCGGCCTTGAGCGTCCTCATACGGCCAGCAGTGAAGGACCACGTCTCAGATCCGTAAGTCATCACTGGCAACACGCACTGGTTATACACTTTAGTTTTCAGAGATTGAGGTATACCTGACGAGAAGATGTCTCGTAATTTCCCGAACGCTGCCCAGCCGAGTTGAATCCGTCGATTGACCTCTCGGTCGAAGTTGGACTTACCTAGTCGGACTATTTGTCCCAGGTAAACGTACTCGTCAACAACTTCAAGCATAGTGCTCCCAACAACTACCGGCATAGGTGTGACATGGACATTAAACATGATCTTTGTTTTGTCCATGTTCATCTTAAGACCTATGCGTTGGGAGACACCATTGAGGTCATTGAGCATAGTGCTAAGGTCCTCCAGCGATTCTGCCATAAGGACTATATCGTCGGCAAATCGAAGGTGAGTGATGTACTCGCCATTGATGTTAATACCGTATCCTTTCCAGTCCAGTAGCTTGAAAACGTCTTCCAACGCAGCGGTGAAGAGTTTCGGGGATATAACATCACCCTGTCTTACACCTACTCTGCAGTTGGATAGGTTTCGAACTCTGGTTCTGTACTCGGATAGCCATCGTAGCCCTACTGTACAAACACTTCAGCACCTCGATATACCGACAGTCAACTTGGCACCGCTGAAGGGACTGTAGCACCGCCCAAATTTCGACGGAATCAAAGGCTTTCTCATAGTCCACATATGCCAGGCAAAGTGGTAGATTGTACTCTTCGGTCTTCTGTACAATCTGCCGCAGGGTATGTATGTGGTCTATGGTATTGAAGCCTTTTCGGAAACCGGCTTGTTCGGGAGGCTGGAAGTCGTCGAGTCTGCGTGCGAGACGATTCGTAATGACTCTCAAAAATAGCATGTAGACGCGGCTCAGAAGGGAAATCGGTCTGTAGTTCTTTAAGAGAGCGTTGTCGCCTTTCTTAAAGAACAAAACCACCGCGCTCCTGCTCCACGCCTCCGGAGTAGTGCCGC